TATTGGGTTGTCCGGAAAGTTCGTGCCGACTAAAATTTAAATTTTAGTATACATTTATTAAATTAAAATTTTCTGCGTTTCAATTTTCCTTCAATATCGACACGAACTTTCCAGACAACCCAATACATATAAGACACCAAGTTTATTGGTTATCACTTTTTTCATCCATTGTTAATGCAATGGATTGCATTGGAAGATTAGACAACACGGATTGTAATTTGGATTGGTGTAGGGACGTTTAGAGTCATCAAATTGAATTCCACTGTTCAATCCGATTTAGAGATCCGATTACTTCACGTACCTTTAAATACCTTTAACAGTTGACTGCCTTTTCAATCATTGAGGCTTTTCTGCACGCTCACACACACACACACACACACACACACACACACACACACACACACACACACACGCACACACACACGCACACACACACACACACACACACACACAGAGTGTCGCATTTTAATTTCCCCAAGAAAAATATAAAAGATATAGAAAAATATTTGAGATAAAAATTACATGGTTTAGAGGGGGCACATTTTGCCCGCTGATTTTGGTCGTATCATTTTTTTTTCTAAGTGGAGATGCTAAAAAGATATGAAGGTTACTTCAATTTTTTTTATGGAATTGTATAAATCTTTTATACAATGTGATTCCTTTAATTATTCTGTATATGTATAAAAGTATTAAGGTAGGTAAAGTATTAAGGTAAAAACCAATAGTTTACGAGATATTTTATTCCGGCAATATTGACATAAAATATTAAATAACTCGTAAACTATTAATTTTTTGATAATTGTACTTTAATACTTTTATGAACAGAATAATAAAATGAATGAATTGGTATAAAAAAAACATAATTGCTTTAAAAAATATGTGAGCAAATTGAATAATTTTTTAAGTAAACAACTATATGTTTTCCTTATATCAATTGATTCATATTATTATTCTGTTCTACATTGAATTTTTTTATATCGATAGTTTTCCAAAATATTACACTCGCGAAATATTACGCTCGCGCGATCGAATCGCAAGCCCATGCGTACGCGTAGTCGCGAATTGCGGAAATGAAGAGACACACGTTTATTAAAAAAAAAACAAGATTATGCATTATTTAGAATACACATAAAGAAACAGAACGATCGTGTACAGCGGAGAAACACATGTGCTCAGGAGCACGTCCGAATGTAGTGACGTGTGACGTCCCAACCACAAAATCTGTCAATCTGTCAAATCCATTAAACAACTAAGTTGTTGCTCGTCCCGATAACACAACGTGCCCCTTATGTGTTTCATTCAATTCGACTTTGTGATTTGAAGACTACACGGCACGAGTGTCAAGCTTGCTTATTTAGGTATTTTAAAATCAAAAGACAAAGAGTATTTTAAAAACATATCATAGAATATTAACAAAAATACAAATATCATCGAGACTTTATTTATTATTATTTATTATTCCTACAATTTTAATCGGTGAAATTTGCGACATGTATGGAAAATGCAGCGAGGTTCATTGTTTAAAAATAACTAGCGTAGGTAACGTGTATACTTGAATACTGGGGCGCAATAAACTGTCATGGTCACTACAAAAATTCCAGTTGCATTCTTATATAACCTTCACCGGGAATTTTATACATATAATCTTCTCGTTTTTCTCGTTTCTAAATTCCCACATAACATCGACGCTTACCTAAAAAAAAAAAAAAACAAGAACTTAACTAATTTAAGAACAAAATAATTAAAATTTAAAAAGTAATATACAATACATATACATTATTATTTATATATAAATAATATATATATTTATAATAAAAATATATATATATATAATAAAAAGTTTGCAAAATGTAGTGTAAATATAGATCAAAATTAAAGGACAGAGAAGAAAAACGTAGCTATGTTCTAAAAATATAACATATAATTAAGAAAACTTTATGAAGTATCAATTTTTTTTTGTATAACTTTAAGTATTTAAGATGATTTATATTTAAAATCATAGATTAACACTTTGCGGGCCATCAAATGCTGTTATGTAAGAATATCAGTCTTATCAACATCTATATATGTTATATTGTCTATAATATACAGAGTAAACTTGGTGTAAGAAGTAAGAGAAATTAATTTAATCACAATTGAACGTGAACAGAATAATAATTGTGATTGATCAATTTCTTATTTTTACTTTTTGAACTAGTTTTATTATTAGTCGCATCGCAGCATTGCCAAGCGTTACGATTCAATCAACATCAAACTAGCTCGACTCTGATTGAATCGCAATACGCTTGCAACAAGCTTGTGATACACTTGCAACGCTCCGACTAATATAGAATCAGCATTACACCAAGTTTAGCATTACTCTTCATATTATAGACGACATTACTCAATAAACACAAAGTTACATGTAACATACCTGTTATAATTTCCTATTTAATAATATAATTATAATATAACACGTTACATATAACCTTGTGTTTGCTAAGAATATATAATATGGCTAATATTACATCTATTAGTATTGTATATTATTGGCGTTATTGTATTTAATTATTATAGATATGAATATAACCGAAATATGTTGCTTCGCAACGTAGAAACAATTATATAAGTAATTAAATACAAGATCATTTTATGTATCACAATAGTTTGTTACAATCAGTTGGTGTAATAATATATACGCGGATTGCAAAAATGTTAATGTTATGATTTAAAGCAAAATTACTGCAGGAGTTTTCTTGTCCACATTGAATGTATTTTTGAACTCAGTTTCCTGATCCTTCTTTAAAGGACATTTGACTCCGGAATCTGAATCTTTGCATATGTCAGGATTTTTCAGAGGAAAAGGTATAGGCACATCGAGCAACACACCAAATGCATGTGCTGTGATGTCCGAAATATCTTTGTCTGCAAAAAAAATGTATTAATATAATACTTATTTTTTAATATTTTATACATAATTATATTATATTGTTGTAAAATTATAATTGGAAATTCTAAATAAAATTTTGACTATCTATATATATCATTCATTTATTCAAGAAATATTAAATTTTTTTATAATATTGAAAAAATTATATGAGTAAAATACAATTATTTCACTAACTTGGCGTAAATTTAATGAATACTTTTATGTCTGTGCCACGGGGTAACGTGCATTTCTCATCGGACACATCACAGCTTGAAACTGAGATCTCATCGAATTTACCTGCCTCCGAACCTGAAATAAATTTAAAAATCATA